TCGCATCTGCTGGGATCACCGGGTAAGTAATGGTGAGGTTAGACTCAAGGTATTAGTAGATGATGGTAAATCAGTTGATGAGGTTGTAAATCTTCATCGACTGAAATGGTTGGGTCACGTGTTATGTGTGCCTGAACACCGATTACCACTGCGCGTAATGCCGAATAGTGTTGGAGACGGATGGAAGAAAGTTAGGGGGGGCCAAACGAAAATGTGGCATCAGTGCTTGAAGCCATTAAATTCTAATCTGAGACATGTTGGTAGATGCAGACTACTTGGTTGGGGGTCCACGCGACTACCGTAATGGTTGGAGACTGGGTGACTGTCTGAGAATCGATCACGATGACTTAGGTGTATACACTCCTTGTCTGCTCTTAAACGGTGAGATTAAAATTAATTTATACCTTTCTTTCTACAAGCTAATTTTTTCTTTCTGTATTATATTCTCATACACAATCTTTCTTTTATATATTACCACAATTTAAGTGACTACTTCTATAAATTTGGTGTTGATCTTGCTATGCTAATAAGGTGTGACAACTTGGACCGATGCATATATGTGCCTGGTCCTACGTTCTAGCTGATATATATATATATATATATATATATATATTCTAGCAATAAAATATTTTGACTGTTAATTATTTAATTGTAGGTTCGAACTCCATCCACTTCATTTAATTCAAATTGATCAGATCACTAGTATCATTAATTTGTTTACAAATCATGCGAGTAAAAACTCAATACACAACCTAATACTTGGTTAATATTTTAATAAAAAATATAATTTTCACTAAGCAAAGATGGATTGTGGTTAGAGGTGGAATCCAGGAAGCGCGTTTCGTTCTATATTGGACTCATCAACTGGAAGTTCCTGCCGCTCAGAGTTGATGTTCACTCTGGAAATTACACAGTATACACATAAGCCAATAAGAGACTGATCAATTGCGGTCCTAAACATCAATGGGAAGATTCAACTAAACAATAACAAATGAATTTATAATTGTCACTGTTAAAATTTCTCTAAATTACAAAAATATAGAACAAATCGACCAATCTCAGCTGATGTAAACATTGTGTCAACAAAAAATACAGCTTTACCTTGTATTATTTAAGTTAATTCAATCATGCCAATTAATTTTGTGTACTGACTAAAATTGATTACTAGATCACAAATAATAATAATCGTACTATTTTATGCAAATTAAATTCATGTTAACTTTTTATAGGGTGACAATTACGTTAATAACTTATCCAGTAATAAACAAACATATTGACTAGACAACTAAGGGTATTCTCTGAATATGTATCTAACTTTAAACGGCCAATTATTAACCAATATGAAACATTTTAGATATGCATTAAAACATCACTTTAAATATCAATGAAGATATTTATATGGAACAATTTAAAAGAATGTTTTAAATAGATATTAAGAAATGATATAAATTACTTTATTTTTTCAAAAGGAATAAGAAGGGAATAGCTGATTAGTCTAATTATTCATGATGATATTGTACGGCAACTAATATATATATATATATATATATAATGTAAACGGTTTCCTTAAGTTCCCCCAGATAAATAAACATTTCAATTCATTTTTCTATCCTTAGAAAATATATTCAAATATTGTCTAAAATAAATTCTTTGAATTTCATTAAAAAATTTAGTTGCTACGCTTAAGTTAAATCGGTTAAACCTTTGACCTCATTATTATTATTATGTGTATGCATTGATTTGAGTGTTTATTTATGATATGTATTATTATTATTATTACTATTATTATTATTATTAATCTAATTATGTTTATAAACCCATACTTTTTAATCCATTAATTTTGTGTGAATAAGTGAATCTTTGTATTAAATACACAATTTAAGTGGTTAGATTAAATGATTGGTGAACAGAATTTCACTTGTTTAAATTATAAAAATATACTGAGAAAAATCAATAATTATCATAATTATTATGATAATAATAAATACTTTGTTCAATATTTGAATAAATGATGATTCAAGAGTTTGTGTAAATATTTATGTATATCGGAATCCATAATCAGGTGTGTTACATATGTCCATATATTCGAACTGTTTATGAATACACCAATAATAAGGGAGGGGTGGAAGAATGTAAAAAGAGGGGAACGAGTAGTGTATACATATAAAATAGTATTAAAAAAATAAATATGTCGATCATATTTAAGGAACAAATACGAAAAATCTCATTCTTACTACAAATAGCAGACAGATACACAAGATTTGAATTTTCGAAAAAAATATTAGTGATTCTATAAAATATTATCAGCAACTGAAAATAGAATTTTAATTGACCATACCATTATATATAAATGCTTGTATGGATGTACGCATATACGTACACATTTTAAATATAAAAACAAGTGAACAAATATAGTCAAATAATTTTTCATTTGTGTAAACAAAACAATTGCAAAGGCTTCTTCAGTTTACTATTCGACTAGTTAATATCATAAGTGATGAGTTAGTTATTTGGTTGTTGTAGAAAAGTAATATAAACATGGACATGTATGTTTTCATGCTTTCAAACACTGTCATATATATATATGCACGATAACTTAAACAAAGTTAATATAACGATTTGAACAGCAACTTACAGTTTTGGTAATATCATAGTAACAAGAGATGAAAGTTTTCAAATTTAAGTTTCGAAAATAAGACAATGAAAATATGGTTTAGATAAGATACTACCACTATTATTATTATTATTGAATTAACTAGGAATTATTGTTCACACCATAATAAATGTCAATTTAATACTTGTTTAATACATACAATACTGTGAAAAAACGCTTATTTTAATTTGTTTAAAATTTCTTTTCAGTGGTTAGTTTTTTATTGCGTATACTTTATATAAAATTGATAGTTGTTCTGTACGTAAGGATAAAGAATTCACTTCAGATAAAATGAAATTTAAGATAAATTTTCTATCTTAATTCTAATCATATACTCATAAGTAAGTAGTTTCTAGAAACATTTTATGTGAGTTCTGATATGAAACTGTAACTGGTTAACTTCCAATACACCATCAATGGATTCTTTGATTCTGGGCCAGAAAGTAATCTAAAGGTAAATTGCCCTTGGTGCGATCATATCTTATTAATGACTCACGTGCATTTGTGTGAATTGGACTTATGTATGTAATTATTACTAAATAAGATGATTTTGTAGGAACCTACGTCATTTTAACAAGACAGAAAATTAACAAGATGAGAAGTTTAGTAAATAGAATGAATCTAATTCAGACACAAAAAAATGAAATTTAAACGAAGGTAAATAATAAATACAACTGACTTTATTGTGACAAACTTTGAAACCATGTCACCCAATACCTTTCTGATGATGAGCTACAAATATTTTGTAGATTCGTGTGGAAGTCGAAATCTACTGACAAGTCTTTTGTCAACAGTCAGTATTTGTGTATATTGGTACAATATCTTAAGGAGATTGTGATAAATAGATTTCAAGTTTTTTGTACTACAAAGTCATACTGATCGACGAATATGACAATAATAATTTAAAGCAATTAATCCCTTTGATAAATTTAATGATTCTATGCTTGGATGTAAATCAGGCTTTGATTTGTGACATTAATAAAATTCAGCTTTTCCGGGATTTTGACTTGCTGATAAGTGGTTTTTATCAGTAGTTTTTCTGGTTTGATACCCCTGGAAATTGTTCCCTTCTATACTGGATACAACATAAAACTTACTGAACTGCGTATATACTGTGCAGTAGCTTACGTACATTACTTTATTGTTATCAAGGACAGATGTTGATTTTAGAAGACATCTGTAGGTTGCAGTTTTTTTGATAATGGGTGTCTTCAAAGCACATCTCGTATTCTTGTGAAAGGACCGAGTGAACATTGTTGAGGCATAAGGTACGGTGCAAAGGTTGAAAATCAATTGATAAGGCTGTAAATCTTCATCGACTGTAGGGGTTAGAACATATGGTTTGCAGGCCTGCTAACTACTCAGATCAATAAGTGATGCTTGAAAGTGCAGAAATAAAGGGCTAAACAAAACAAAGGTTAAGCCCATAGAATCAATCATTGTGGAACTGACCCAGATTGGTTGATGCTGACTATCTGAATATCTCACATACAGACCCATCCACTATGTCATTTTGAACCCAATTCTTAATGTATAGTCTTCCTCATGATCATTGCTACTGTATTGTTTCTATCTCTTGTTATCTCTATCTTGTCTAGTTAATTTGGTATTCTAAGTTAGGTTTACGCAAACCTATGCCAAACTATCTATTGATAAAACTACTAACTGCAGAACTGGTGATCAATACAATATTATATTAGCCGATAAATCAAAGTTAAACAGTTCATATTTTTTTTACTTCAGTCAGCCACCTTAGTAGCTATTCACTGTGTTTATTTATAGTAATTTTTTATAGATTCCCCCTCAATATTTAAGTATGAAACTGTGACCTGTCAAATGAACCAAGTATAAAATGTGTGATAGTTATTCATAGAACTGAACTGTACAAATGGACTAAAATATTTATCTGATCTTCACGAATTTTAAAGGAATTCATCTTCAAAAATATATTGTCTATTATTAACTAAATTGAATTAGTCTACTTTTGGTTACCTAGTAAATCTTTCTAACAATTCAGTTACTTATAAAATTGAATCATAAATGAATAGTAGATTACTATGAAAAGCTAGTGACAAATGCTAATAATCTAAATAAACTGATACACTTAATAACCAAGTTTAAATTTATGCACTTGACTTTAAAGTGTTCATTTTATATTGTGTGGACTAATAAAACTATTTGGTCTGTCTGAATTGAAGCAAACAAAAGAAATAAACACGTTTGAGTACATGGCCTAATCATTGACTTCGATTGTTTTAATTATTGGCATATCAGTTCAATAGCTTTATAATGACCAATTCATATTTGACAAAAATTATCAATATTTCAAGTTTATTCATATACTTACTGGAATTAATTTTCTCCGCATATATATCAGATTGGATACAAAGACAATTTTTAAAATTAATTGAATTTGTATCTATATTTTGTTGATTTGATTGTTCATAAAATTGATTATTTTCTGTATTATTTACTCTGATAGTATTTGTTATGATATTATCCATTAGTTCTGATGAATTTTTGACCGTTCGATCCCATTCGTCGGAATGCTCCCGTACAAGGTCAAGGCTTGGTAAAGGTATATTTTCGTTTTCATTCATTTTGATGCCGTCTTGATGCTGAATATTAACATAATCATTATTATCTTCAATATTATTCATATTTCTGCTATTATTATCATTACCATTATGATTTAGTGATATAGAATCAGTTGGAGTAACATAATTGGTTAGTGAGTTACTCATTATATTATTTGTATTTTCATTATTACAATAATCCAGAGTAACTGGTGAAGATGAATAATGTGACGCAATCATTGTCGAGTTTGCATGATCACATGAAGTTGGAATTTGTAAAAATGATATTGGCAGTCTAGTATCAATAAAATTATTATTATTATAAGAGAATGAATTGATTATATTAGGATTATCATTTTGTATCAAATTTTCATGAATAGAAGGATAATTGTATGGAATCGATTGCATATAATGAAAGTGATCATTAGAAGATTCAGGATTCTCTCGATTACTACGGTGATAAGCACTTTCACACCATGTTTGTATCCACATTTGTTGATCTTTTTTGTTTAAAGCGTAGATTCGCAAAAATTCTGAACGTGTTTTATTCTGTTAGAATCTAAAAAGTAAATAAAACTGTTGTTTAGATAAGTTTATTGCTAAATCATTTATACTTGTTTAATGGAAATGAAATAGTATCTGCTGAGAATTATTGTATTAGTGAGGAAAAACAAACTAGTCTAATAAACAGTTTCCCGTTTTATTCATTTTTGAAACATTGTTTCCAATATATCACTTTCTATTAATTTACTGTTCAAAAGAAAGAGAAAATAATAAGAACGTTTATGGTAGATTGTTGAATAGACTTACATGTTTTAAAATCATGTAAGTTTTGTGAATAATTATTTCTAACATTATCATTCTCAAAAATAAACAAAATACGCTTCCATATTCGATTGGTTATTTTAGCAATTTTTAAAACCAATCAAATTTTACCCATTCAAGAAATGCCATTAATATACCCCTACAGATGTTTATTTATTTTCGTTAATCTGATTGGTCGTTTAAAAATAATGTTGAAAAGCATAGAAAGGAATACATTTTAGATGACTAGTTTTCGATTCTATTTTTTCTCAGAAAATGTTTTAATTTTAACATGAACTGTTAAGGTATCTCAGATAACTCGATGAAAACAAATTTATTGTCCAAAATAAATGTTTCATAGACGTTAATAATTGTTATTTCAAAAATATGAACAGTAAACTGATTTGCAAAATCATCGTTAAATTTTAAATCCAAGTTTATATATATATCACATCGATTAAAGTCGGTTTTAATTATAATCCTGATCTTTTATTACTTACTTGCTTACGTCTGTCACCCCTTATGGAGGAGCATAGGTCATCCACCAGCTTTCTCCATCCAACTCTGTCCTGGACATTGCTTTCTAGTTTCCAGTTGATATTAATTCTTTTATTACTTGTATGATAAATTTACATGTATATTCACTTATCATAAGTTTCCTTCGCGTTTGTAATTAATTTTTACAAATGATTTCTAGTTATTCCTCAAATGATGTTATGAGATCAATAGCAAGCAGTGGTTCAATTTCAGCATAGAATCCAACCTCATCATGTCTAACAGTTTCGTTGGGAGTTCTTCAAGAAAATGAGAAACTTTAACATCGTCCATAAATAAATTAAACAAAATAAGAATAATGTTTTTGTAAACAAACCTGTGATTCTATGTTCTGAAATAGTTATATATGATGTGTATTTTGATTTTATCAATATTTCGGTAATAATGTAAGACTTCTTTTGATGTGTAACTGTCCTATATTCATAATATTGTATTAGTATAAGCGGTTTGTAAAGACTATTGGGCTTTAGTGATTTCATTATAGACCGAACACAATCAAACAGCCATTTGAAACCGAAAAGTAATGGATAATTTTCACAGCGTGGTATGCACCCCGTAAATAGTGTGCATCTAAAACTTCACCGGAGATCAAACACGAAACCTTTAGGCCTGCCAGCAATTGCTTCACACGAACTTTTACTTTCATTGGAAAAGTATCATGCTTTATAGTTTCTTATGATTGTTTAACTAAGTTCAGTCTGTGGTAAATTATCAAGTATAATTTTGCTTGAGTATTTGTTAGGACTTATAAACCAGTTGTACATTATGATTGCAAGTCTCAGACTGTGAAGCTGTGTGACTCGGAGTTGAATCCATCAGAGAGCATCAGTTCTCGCAAAATTACAGGTATATCTTGCTGATGAGTACCGAATAGGATGAAACCTAGATCCAGGGTGTCCTATCGACTACCTCCACCTTACATCACAGTTAAGTTTAGAACTTTTGGTTAGGAGTGTTAGAATTAAGGGTTACGACTGAAACATGTTAGAGTAGGATAATACATTTTGCCACAAAAATAATCTTGGTTATGCCCTGAATAATTCGAAGTATCTGCAGATACAAGTGCAACATGGAGCAGGTATGGCTTACGGAATATGTTAAACACTATTCGGTTGCATAAGATATATTTTAAAAGCATTTCACTAACTAGATATAAACATTTTTTACTTAGTTTTTAGTAAGATACATGTTGTCCTTTACTGAGCTTTGAATTTCATGCAAAAATCCGAGGGGTATTATTTTAAATTTGATCGACTTAATCAAGATCATCAGTATAGTACAGTTTTATCAGAACTGTTGATCATATATACTACGAGTTAACTGACATGATATTAATCAGTTGATTGATGTTAAATATTTTAAGTTTTTCTTTAAAAGTACATTACCGTATATTGTCTCGTAAGACTATTGATCTACATAATATTATGCATATAGAAGCCATAATTCAATTTATTCATCTATCATGAACGTTTCTTGTTATTATGTGTAGGTTTTCTGCAAATTAATCAATATTGTCTTATTTACTAAAAAATGACTAGTAAGTCTTACCTGATGAAATGATTATAAACATTCATTACCAAAATGAAATTAGTATCAGATTTCAATAAGTATTAAGGATGTAATTAAAATTATACGACTTGACAATTCTTAGGTTTAATTTGAAGTGTTATCTGAATACTAATAAAGAATTCCAGACTGAGTCCCATACTAGGACGAGACGGCTGTCCAGTGCTTCCAGGTTTTCACTGGTGGTCTAATAAAGATCAGCTCATGAATTCAACTATTAAAACAAAATAGCCTGTCTAGAATCCCATTTTCTCTTGACGAAAATTACTCCGGTTATATTAATTAATTAAACTGAATAACATCGTTTATGATTTCATTTCGAAAATTGTCTGCTAAAATTTCCATCTTTACATTGTTTAGTAATTTCTGTTATGAGATCTGTCTTACCAGATTGTTAAGGAAACCATAAGAAGAATAAGCGAATATGGATAATGGCTAGAGGTCGAATCCAGGTCGCGCGTTTCGTCCTATCTGTGACTCGTCAGCTGGATGTAGCTGCATCTCAGAGTTAATGTTCACTCCAGGGCTCTCACAATATGAGACGAATAGTAGTCAATGAATTTTCAATAATTTCGCTTACAACACAATAGTTTATTATTGCAGTAGATAAACTTGTTTAGTCCTAATAATGATAAGGAAATATTTTCAATACGAATAATTGTTAGACATTTATATAATTGAAGCATAACGTTTTAAACGGTAAACTGATTGATTTTGAATTAGATGTTTTGATCAACACAATAAATATTGTAGTTAAATGATAATATACATAAACCAATTATCCCCCCCTCCAGACCATCAATATCACATATTTCACTGATCTACAAAAAAAAATCAGATGTCTCTATCTTATTTTTTTAATAGGATGGAACGTTTTATGTATATTTTTAATTAATCTAAGTAAGAAAAGAAATATTCTAATCAATAATTGATGAAGAGATTTTGTAGGGTTATATTTTTTAAGTTATATTTATTGCAAAGTACCTTTTAAAACTACGGAACACTAGAGGGCAATTTAAATTTGGCATAGGTTACTAAATTTCTGGTAAGGAATCGTGGTCACAAATAGCATTAGATGACCCGAAGGCTATATCACGGATTGATTGAAGTCTAGGAGTGTGTAACATTGTATACTAACAAACTGACCTAGTGATTAAGTGTTCAATGAGAGACTCCAATCTCGGATGATGGGTGCACAATGTAGAAGACTCTATGTTGGAATGATTCTAATTTAGGGAATTAAAGATATTACATCCAGCTTAAATTAATGAAGACTGAAGATCGTGGGTTCAATCTCTGTAGTGATGCTGTGTAGCGAACTCGAAATTTTACGCTGTCGACTTCTAATTTCGTTTATCATATTGTATTAATCGCACTGTCGTGTTATTTCTGATTGTTGTCGATTGATCTCATTGTTAAATGCATGCGCGTGAGAAGTGCTTACTGAGTAGTAGATTTTCTTTTTCTCTTGTTCTTTTCTCTTCCGAATTTTCTCATATCCTGCTCCTCACATTCCCTCAGCGTACAATGTACCATCAGGCTAGACCAAAACTTACTAAAGTCTGAACGTTGTAACTGTAGTTATTTAGTGCTTACTTGTTAACTTAAGTGGCTTTTCAGTTCACATCGATTTCTCATTTTTATAAATTCTTCGTTAGGTGGTTAGAGGTAGACAGTAGAAAACCCTAAACCAAGACTGTGAAGCTTGGTGATATATTTTTGAGTTTCACAGGAAGCATTAGCTCCCTCAAGATTACATGCATGACTTTCTGATGAGTGCTAGATACCAAAAAACCTAAGTATTGAATTTCCCACTGGCTATCTTCATCTATTAAGCACCTAAACATAGTTTAAATGATATTGAGTCACTTAAACAAGTGGCCATGTTACAACTTGATTAAAAAAATACATTGGTCACCAAGATAACTCATAACGCATATTCTTTGTAAAAAGAAGAAACAGTTGATGATATTGCTTGCATTTCCATTTTATAGTAAATTAAAACGTACTAAGATCAAATAGAACAGATCAATCTACTTCAAAATACCATAACTACCAAAGATCTCAGGACACAAAGAACTAACAAATATTTTCGAAATTTATTAGTAAATAGATCGAATTTAACAATAATAATAATAATAATAATAATAGCATCTTAACATAAGTAGTACGAGTCTTTTCACACCTTAGATACAATAATAATAAAAGTTGTATTTTATTCCATAATGCATTAAATTTATGAATGGTGTTTATTACTTTTCCGAATAATTTACAATTCTCTCTATCCTCCTTTTAAAATGTCTGAACAAAAGAAACAATTTCATTCTTGCTAAGAAACGAATGTACAAAAGAAAATAGCAAACATAATAAAGACATTTACCATTTAATGAATATAATTTTATTTGGAAATTAAAAAACAATAATGACGTTATAAAAACAGTTTTGGGATTGTATAAATATTGACTATTTAATTTATGCCTATACTTACAATTGACTGGTTACTGAGTAGTGATCAATTTAATCTAAGTCAAGTCCTTCTTACCACCAATTAGATTCTATCTACTACGTTGCAGTGTGACCGCTTGTCTAGGTGACTCAACATCCCTTGGACTGTGTTGAGACGTAAGACGCTGGTTGGA